GCCTTAGCCGCTTGAGCCACAGGCACCGAGCCTGTCGAACTTCTGAACTCAAGCCACCTACCCACCCTGGCCTCCCAGAGAGCCCTTCACTACCAATTTAAAACACTTATCACACTAAACAGAAACCCATGCCTATTAGCAGTCACTCTCCATTTCCTTTCAACCACTTGACCCTAGATAATCAGTATACTTCTTTCTTTCTCTATAGATATAACTATTCTGGACATTTCATAAATAGAAGATAACTTCTTTCCCAAAATATTACTAATCATTTTGGGAAAAATGTTTTTCTTAAATAACATTCAGTTTTTTTCCTTTCTTAAACGGATTATAAGAAATCCAAGGCTTTCAGCCAGAGATGCCATCTTTCAGTAATTCACCAAAATGACGAACACAAAGGGAAAAAGGAGAGGCACCTGATACATGTTTTCTAGGCCTTTTAGAAAACATGGAGTTGTTCCTTTGGCCACATACATGCGAATCTATAAGAAAGGTGATATTGTAGACATCAAGGGAATGGGTACTGTTCAAAAAGGCATGCCACACAATGTTACCATGGCATAGCTGGAAGAGTCTACAATGTTACCCAGCATGCTGTTGGCATTGTTGTAAACAAACAAGTTAAGGGCAAGATTCTTGCCAAGAGGATTAATCTTCCTATTGAGCATATTAAGCACTCTAAGAGCCGAGATAGCTTCCTGAAACGTGTGAAGGAAAATGATCAGAAAAAGAAGGAAGCCAAAGAGAAAGGTACCTGGGTTCAACTGAAGCGCCAGCCTACTCCACCCAGAGAAGCCCACTTTGTGAGAACCAACGGAAAGGAGCCTGAGCTCCTGGAACCCATTCCCTATGAATTCATGGCATAAAGCATATAACACAGCACACAGGAGTACCAGTGGACCCATGCTTTTAGGTGCAAGAACCTATTTACTCTCCATGAGCTCATGGCATAATAGGTGTACAGCATAGCACACAGGATAACCAATTAGACCTCATGTAACAGTGATACAAGGTGCTGGAACCTATTTCCCATGAATTCAAAAGTCAATGTTTTGTCACATTCAATGGCAAGGTGCCTCCCTGAGCTACTGGAGCCTCTTCCCTATGAATTCATGGGATGGTAGTTAAAAACAATAGCCTAAAAATGTGTGCTGTTCGTTCACTACAAATGTGAATTTTTTTTTTTTTTTGCCACAAAGAATTATTAAACCAAATTTTAATGTATCCCAAAAAAAAAAAAAAAAGAAGAGAAACCCAAGTTAACCATTCTTCTTATTATTTTTTTAGACAGAGTCACCCTGGGTAGAGTGCTGTGGCATCACAGCTCATAGCAACCTCTTAACTCTTGGGCTTAAGTGATTCTCTTGCCTCATCCTCCCAAGCAGCTGGGACTACAGGCACCCACCACAAAAGTTAACCATTCTTGATACTCAATATTCATCACTATAAATAACAAATATGATATTAGAAATATGACAATGAGGTGATACTCTTAGGGGCTATTGAGATCGAGCTGGTGGTTTGAGGTTACACTGCCCCCAGAAAACTAGAAAACAGAAAAAACTGTCCATCCTAGGGCAGTGCCTGTGGCACAAAGGAATAGGGCACCGGCCCCATGTACTGGAGGTGGTGGGTTCAAATCCAGCTCCGGCCAAAAACTGTATAAACAAAACAAAACAAAAAAACTGTCTATCCTATAATTCTAAAACCTCTTTTCCCTGCAGGCTTCTGTCACTCTTCACTCCTATCACGTAAATTCTGCTGCATAATCTATAACTTCTCAAAGGAACTTATGAAAGAGACTTAACCTTTTTTATGAAGTAAATTTCACTGATTTGGCTAGATACATAAACTTGACGAAAATGACTTATATAAGCAAATAGAGTGCAAATTTTGATTTTTATAGTTTCCAAGTTACAGGCCATAACGTTTCCCTTTATCACAGTCTTCTTTAAAGGACTGCCTATAATCGTGTGTTTCTTCACTTCACATCAAGGTGCTAAGATCACTAATGCCCTCCTAATTAAGCAGTTTCCAAGGATACTTCTCAGTCTTGATCTTATTCTGACCATTTTCTCCATCTCCAAATTCTCTTCCTCCTTAGCATCCAAAAGGCTTCTGTGTTTCCCTCCTGGTTCACCTCCAACCCCTCAAATCAAATCACTCTTTCCTATTTCAACTCTACTTCCTCTCTCTTTTAAATGATGGTTTTTCTCCTTATTTAACCTACTCTCTGATATCTTCTACTACTTCTCCTGTGGCTCCCTCCTTCATAATGAGAACTTACAAATACATCTCTAGTACAGATATACCTACATTAGACTGTCCCTTAGGCCCCTCAAACTCACCAAAGCCCAAAATGGAATTCATTATCCATCTGGTGGTTTGAGGTTCCACTGCCCCCAGGATACCTAAAACCTAGAAAACAGAAAAAACTGTCCTTCCTATAATTCTAATATCTCTTTCTCTAAAGGCTTCTGTCACTCTTCATTCCTGTCATGTAAATTTTGCTGTATCATCTATAACTTCCCAAAGGAGCTTATGAAAGAGACTTAACCTCTCTCCTACTCCAGAAAATCATACTCCTCTTGATTTTCCTTTCTTAGTTAATAACATTTCTTCCACCCAGTAACCTAAACAAACTAGGAGGCTGAAAGTCATCTCATTGATTTCCCTTTATTGGCCCTCCACCATCTATTCAATAGACTCATTCAACAGACTTCACTAATTCATTTCCTGATGCTCTCATATCCATCTCTCCTTCCCATTCAAATGCTACTGCCTAAGCTCCGGTCTCACATCTCTCACATAAACATTCTCTTAATGGGTTTCCCTGCCTCTAGTCTTGCCCAAATCATCCAATCTTTTCTTTACACTACTGCCCACATAATTTTTAAAAAAATATGTAAATCTGATATAACTCTGGTACTTAAACCCCTTTAATAGCTCTTGTTACCTATATGATAACATCCAAACTCCTAAGCACCATAAACAGGTACTCCATGATCTGGCCCTCTCTTCTTGTGCTCCCTCCCTACTTTTTCTCTAGGTCTTTTCCATATACAATTAATTAGAGTTTCTCAAAGGTATCCAGCTATGCCATGCCTTTTGTCCTAGCACCTGGACTCTCTATTTCACTTTAAATATATGTATCATATCATTCACCAAACTGTACATGCTATTATTTGGGTATATTTTTATCTCTTCTATTAGAATAAAAGCTCCTGGGAAACAGAATCCATTTCTTGTTTTTGAAATCTTTTGAAATTATCAAAAAAGAAAACAGTGTCTAGTATACAGTAAGGATTCAACAAACCTTTGCTGGCTAAGTTCTTTGGATAATGTCATCAAAAATCTAAGCTCTGCATAAATGAGTTGTACTATCTTTTAGTCTCTTCCATAATCCCCACATCGTTCTGTCTCCTTTATTTCCAATCATGACAGAACCTGTACCTTAATCTTATAGTCATCTCCTCCAGAAACAAACAGTGGCTGCTGCTTATGGAAGTCAATGCCTCGCACTGGACCTGAGGGAGAAGGCAGGCAATATATGTTAGAGAGATCTATCCTTTTTAACCTCTAATCCTTTTAAAGATTTTTCAGTTCAATCACTTCCACATTCTTTAATCATAGAGGAATCAATCTCAAACAAGGCTTAATACCTCAGAATATAATAAATACTTCTATTTCTTTTAACTTCCACCTAGACACTGTCTTACCATCATGTTCGTCAAACTTGTCAATGAGAGTGCACATCCGATAGTCCCATAACTGGATGACACCATTGTGTAAACTAGTCAGAATCCAGGGTCTTTTGGGGTGAAAGCTGAGCCCTAAAAAAAACAGAAAATGATGCAATGAGCTAAGTAACCTCCCATGATGTCACTTTCTATCAATTCTGATAAGCTAGGTTTATCCTGGGTTCATTCATTCATTCAATATATCTGACAATTTTTTTTTATTGGATGTTAGATATTGTTAAATTTTATGCTGTCAGATGATTTCTTTAAGTATTACTGGTCATTGTTCTAGAATGCAGTTACCTAGAATCAACTGATCCTTTCAAGTCTTGCTTTTAAGTCTTGTTACAGTGGATTATAGCAGCCTTTAGTCTAGATCAGTGGTTCTCAACCTTCCTAATGCTGAGACCCTTTAATACAGTTCTTCGACCATTTAATACAGTTCCTCATGTTGTGGTAACCCCCAACCATAAAATTATTTTCGTTACTACATCATTAACTGTAATTTTGCTACTGTTATGAATAGTAATGTAAATATTTGATATGCAGGATGTATTTAGGCAAC